AAGAGTGTACAGGATGCCAGTCAGCTTGTGGACCAGCGTCTGTGTTTGTTCAGACCCTTGCGATGTCGGTGTGTAACAAGGGTGTGTGTGAGAATTAAAACCAGTAAGTGTGCCGAGGCTGAGAGGTGATCACTATGAAGGTTAAGTTGAGTGGACTATGTGAATCAGTGCTTTCATTACTGTCACCTTTTATCCACTCAGTACGACAATGATTCATCAGTGCCACTTCCAATGCTCTCTTTCACAGAGATTGTGTTCAACAGATAGAGGCAAGCACATTCCTGTCTGATCTTTGCATGCATATGTACAGACAGGTGACAAATGAAAGGAAAAACCAGCATCAAGTGTCTCAGTAAGGTTTTGGGCCACCACGTGCCACCAGAGCAACTTCAATGCACCTTGGCATTGACACTCCAAGTTTTTGAACTCTACTGGAGGGATGAACATCATTCTTCCAAATGATATTTCCTCAGGTGGTGAAAACTGGTGGTTGTCATTCCATGCACATTTGCGTATTACCGGTGCTGAAGAAAAAAATATGCAACGCGTGTGCATCTTTCTTCCCCAACTGCTTTCCTCTCCAACTTTGCAATGGGCGCCACATGCACACATTCGGTGACCAAATGGCAGAGAAAAGGAGGCTGATAGTCTATCACCAAACACCATCCACCAAAAAAGAAATCAGCAGTGCAGGATTACTTTGGATATCTTAAAATCGAACGCCTTCGAGAAAACCATCTCTCTGTACAGGTCAAAGTATGTGTTCTGTTTATAACTGCAATCTCAAACAATAAAGAGTGTGAGCCTACAAACGTTGGTCATAAAATTATCGAAATCATTTTCCACAGTCTGTTTTTTCCATTCATCTCTGACTTACAAAAGGACTCACACTGATCTTGATCTGACCCCAGAAACACACACAAACCTTCCTGGGTCACATAAGTAAGTTTTGTGTGTGTGTGTGTGTGTGTATACATATCTTTGTGAAGGTGGGTTTTACTTATTTACCTTGGGAGTGAGGGTTTAGGGTTATAATTAAGTTAAACTATGGGTTAGAGACTAGGAAAAGCATTACACACAGTTATTAGGTTCACCTATCCAATATAACAGCACCTGCCATAACATCTATTTGTATGAAGCTCATAATGTTTCAGGTTTTGGTCAACTTGTTGGACATGTATAAATTAAGTTATATATGTTTGTTATAGAGGTCATAATTAAAGAAGGTGTTGTACTGGTCTGCTGTATATTCAGTGGTGTCTCTAAATTTTCGTCCTCACATGAGGGGATCAGGATATTTGCAACACCTGTCCTGTGTGTGCATTTGTGTGTGTGTACTGTAATGTGCGTCTCACCCAGTGGGGGGCAGTGTGTGACCAGGATGTCTGTGTTGTCGGGTATCTGGTTCCACTTGTCCAGCAGAGCCTGACCCCGCGGCAGGTTGAAGCCCCAGCCATAGTACCAGGGCTGCCTGCAGACACACATAAACACATAAAGAAACAGAAAAATAAATATTTTGGTTAATACACAAACTGTCAGAGGAGTGCAGACATCATCATACTGGATGTTTGAAATACAGAATTCATCTCACAACCACCTTTACACAACATTTAACCTCTGCATTAATAATACTGTTCATTCAAATGAGACCTAGGAACATCTCCCATTCCACTCAGTTGTGTGCCCACAGTGAGAAAACAAAATCAAACAGGGGATCATAACACACAACATGCAACACTCACACACCGCAATCTAATGTAGTCCCAACTGTAAGAGGACTAGATGTATTACTGAGAACATTTTAAATAAACCACTAAAAACAAACACACAGCAAAGCAAGATCAGAACAATAGTATCAAGCTTTTCCTGGATGGTGGATAAAGACAATGTAATGTAAAGAAGAAGAGTCCATTTAAGAGTTTGGAAATGGTGTAGAAGTACACACAAAGCGTTGGTGAAGTTTTTAATGTTGAAAACTGGATACTGTTGCTGGATACAGCTGTAAAAATCTGGCCTCTTTAAGGTAAAAGTCTTTTTAAAGTTTTCCTGTTTTTCTTTTCTTAACAGGATTTAACAGTAAGTGGGATTTTCTAACTGTCACCTTGTTGCCTGAAGTTGCTCATGATGAAAAAAACTGCAGGAAGACAAGATGGAAAGCAAAGACCTCTCACTCCTCTTTATGCTGCCCTGACAACAATGTTCAGCTTCCTTCAATTCAGTGCCTAACATATGTTTGAACTTCAGGATGAGTAGCTACCCAGGGGACTTATGAAGAGCCATCATGTAGGGGTGGAATCACAGTCAGCCCTGAAATTCTCCATGACTGGAAGACAAAAGGAGAATAAGGGACAAATGAAAAACGAAGAGAAGAAGAATACGTAGAAGAGGAGAGCCTTGATGGCTGGTGCTCGTGTCCCTTTACTTTGATAGCGGACGCCTTGTCTGTGAGTTGAGTGACAGAGAAGAAATTAACATGTCACTTACAATCTGTACTCCGATCCATCTTCCCCTCTAGCACACACGCGTGTGTGCAACCACAACTGTCGACATCCGCCGCCGTGCAACCATGTTTTTTTTTTCTTTTTTAAATTGCTGAGTGCAGTCACTTGAAAAGCCAACTTTATCGCTGTGGCCGCTGCCCGACTTGTCTGTGCTCAGTGAAACATCAGATGAGGATTTTTTTAGAATAATTTCCGGTGTGTGTGTGTGTGTGTGCAAGACATGCTTGGGGACTTTATAGACAGCTGGAGAGACGGAAAAGAAGGCCTGAAGATAGGAAGAAATAATTGTCACACACTCTCTCTCCCTTCTTTCTCTCTAATCAGGAAAGCTAAAAATGGTGACCCTGAGGTCACTGGTGCCGGAAAGGTTGGGCAAGTGCATGTAGAAGTGCATCATGGGAAATCATCCTATTTCAACCATACTGCCCATGATTAAAATTCCATCCGTTTCTGAACATCAGAAACTAAACATTTCTGATGAATGATCCAACGCTGCCCATGAACACAATTTCAATAATTCACACAGTGAATATTAAAACATTTATTCTGGCCTCCGCATATTAATAGGCTTGGTGGAATGTAATATTCATGTCCATCTTAACATGGACGTCTCAATTAAAATGGAATGAGTTCAGCATTGCGATTGAGTCTCCTGGTTCCCTCAGTGAAGGGATGAAGAGAGAGCAAAGGACAGATGGTAAGGAGCCTCCCCTCAATAATGACCAACCAGACGGTGATTTATCCTAACAGAGAGGTGGCTAAGCAAAGAGACACAATAATGAGGATGGAGAGAAAAAGTGATAAGCTTGGAAGAATGGAAGGACAGAGTAGTTCGAGTAAGGACAATAATGAACTACATTTACATGTGAAGCTGTCCTTCTGTAAAATGCAACAGTATAAGTCATTGTACCAGCAGGTCGTTACGACAAAGTGTTATTGTTTGGCGACATTTAGTGACCGGGTATTTATGACATGAGGAAAGCAATAAATAACGTGATGTAGCATATAGAGGCACAAAATGCACGTGAGGAGACGGCTAGGCACACAAAACGTGCGCTTTTGTTCCTAAATGTAACCAAGTGGTTTTTGTATCTAAACCTAATCGAGTAGTTTGTGTGGCAAAACGTAATGAAACTGTGGTTTAATAATCGTAACAACATATTTTTGACAGGTTCCAAAACAGGAGAGCTTCCATATCTTGCTGATGGCTAGCCGTCCTGTTTATAGCTGCTTCTAGGGTGACAAAAGCCCCTAAAGCTTGGTACTGCTACATACATTGTCGCTAATGTTGTCAGAATTGTTGAGATTTCTCCCGCTACTGTACAAGCGCTACAGTATTTAATGACATGCCCATATGGGTCATACAGGTTGGAGGACTTATAGTTGCATGTACACTTTCAAAATGCACATTGCATTTTCCAAAACATATTCAGTATTTGCACAGATTTTCCTTCTTCCAAAAACTTGCTTAAAGCACATAGTTAACAGCTTTAGTGGACAAACCTACACACTAGTATCCAAGTTTTTTGAGCTTTTTATTTGGAACAGAAACACCTGGTAATCCATATCCCCCAAGGGCTTTGATGTGAATGTGTAGGATTGTCTTTGATTCCTCTACATCATTTCACTCCCCACTGAGTTCCCTCAGCTCATAAAGATGAACCCAGTTTGGTTTCGGTGTGCTTGGACTCATTTACCCTCCGCTGGATTTGGCTTCTTTAACTGTTCATGTGGGTCATAATTTTACTTTTATTTCAGCATGTAGCTCCTCATTAAAGTGATTTATTATTATATTTTGTTTATACCTGTGTACATGGCAGACAGAGAGGTGGTTTACATGCAGTCTCAGACTTTCTAGCATATTTGAGTTTCTCAAATAAAGTAAGATGGCCATCCACATTTCTGAAACTAGGATGTTTACATGGTCAAACACATATGTATCCTGGTATCTGTTACACCAAATTTGCAAGTGCTGCCATTTGTAGCATGAAATAATTTCCCATTTTGTTTTGTTTGACACGAATCCCTAATCAAAAACAAATGCAATACTTGTGAGCCATGTGTGAGCATACATGATTCCAAGTTGTCAAAGAGAAAGGCATCGTGCGATAATGTGAATTTAGTTGTTTTTATGTTTTAAAATGCCGTGACCTCCACCTGAAACCAAGGATGGAGGAGCATTGATCATTTGATTTGATTTGATTTATTCTTTCAAGCATGTAAAGACAGTTGATATGTCAACACACATAATTTTACACATATCCAACAAATGCTAATCCAATATCAATTTGCTTATACCTAGTACATGCTTGAATGGAGTAGGAAGAAGTCAGACTTATCAATCTAAAACAAGAATACACACAAAAAGTCTCAGATTAACAAACATCACACAAAAATTAGGCAGTTTTCCTGTGTATCCCTCCATTTCTGTAGATCTAGCTGTTTGTGGTTGTATTTTGTTTTTATCTGAACCATATCCTCTTTTTTTGACAAATAGTTGTGCAATACCATGAAATAGCAGTATCTATTAAAATAAAAGACAGAAATTCAATAAGATGATGCATCCTCAAGGCTCTTCCCCTCATCTTATTTCTAACATATTCCATCATCCAGGCTGCGTTTAACCTTTGTATCATTCAGGACAGCTCTAATGATCATCCCATACATTAGCATGTTATGGCACTCTCCTGAGTGCTACATGCCCATTGGCATCCAGGCCATGTCAGCTAACCCCTGACTGTAGGCTAACCACTGCATCTAACTGCACTCAATGACACACATTCATCACAGTCAAAACTGCCCTAAACACTATGAGGGTTCCCAAAGCATCAGAAACGTGCTTCTAATAAAAGAGATATCACCTCGCACAGCACACCACATCCTTTTTAACTCAACACAAAGAGCGACAACGCAGGCACTGAGTGAACACTCCTCGCTGTCACTGCGGGCCTTTGTGATGCGATCAGCACACTCATAATACAAGTCTCAGGAATACTGAAGTTAAAAATGAACTTTAGAGCAGATGAGACTTTGAATGAATAAGAGTAGAATTTACTTCCAACAAATAACAGGTGTTAAAATCGTTGTTCTGCATTTGTTTGACATAAGGATCAAATAAAACAAACACAGCTATTGTACATGTGTGAAAATGTTTATTAGACTCATTCCAGTGCCTTCACATGGAAAACGCTGCGAAAATATTGAAGGACTGATATGATGATCACAAACAACTCCCTGTGTCACAGCCTTGAAAGAACAGATAGCAAATGGGCTGCTTTAGCATGCATCCATTATTCATTAGGCACTGTACTCGTCCATGTCAACAACCTCTGCAGTGGCACAACCAAACCATTCTTTCTTTTGTCTCTCTCACACTCAGCTTTCATCACATCTTTCTATAATCTAGACCCAAACTGTTAAAGAGTAGGGATGTAATGATACCAAAAACACATGGTGTGATATTGTCATGATATTAAACGGTGAAGAAAAAATACGTTTATTAAATGACAAATCTACATTTTTGCATGATTTTACTGCACCTGCTTTCCTTCCTTATTAAAATAAAGACGACGACTAAATACATTGGGACAAGTCACGTAAAGGTGAGATTAGTGCTTTACTTGGAGTTTCTCAAACACCGTGGCCTACTTTTTTAATAAAAAAAGATTAAGAGTGGTTACTAAGCGGGTGGCTTTGCATTTGTGCATCCAGTTTGTTTGCCCATCTCCGTTAAAACGTAGCGCACAGTTGTGTCCCGTCTGTTTCTACGAGGCATATCCAAGACTGTCACTGTTCAGCATTTCTCAATTTCTTTTCCACCCTTGTCATTTGCTGAAACGGGAAAACTGAAATGCTGCCCCACAACAGGCCTACAAGTCAGTGATGGAGCAACCGCTACATAAGTTTCAAATTCATTGACTTTAATGCAGTTATACTAGTGAAATAACCATATTTTCTGATAGTGTCACAG